GCGGTTGGATTCAGCTCATAGAGAGGATTCCAATGATATGTATTTCATATCTGTAGCATCAATATTGATGGAGTTATTCATGTTTAAAATTTTATACTAAATTATAATTATAAAAATCACATGACTATGATGTAATTTCGACCATTTTGACTTTAATTTCAACTTTTGAACTTTCCAAGTCGAAATATTTCTACTTTTGGGCTTTAATTTTGACTTCATGTATATTCGTTATATCAAGGTTTTTTTTATATTTAAAATTGGTATTACATTGGATGATTCGTTATATCATATTATTTGTTATATTAAGGTTCGTTGTAGAGAGAGGAGACTGTACATGCAAAATTGCATTAATTAACCTATGATTTTCTTGATTTTTGCATAGAAAATATTATGAAATTTATGTTAAAATTATTTTATAAATCATTTTTTTAGAATAGTTGTCTTATAAATGAATTTTTGCATTTGTAAAAATCAGCAAATTTTACAAAGTTCTATAAAGTTAAATGCATTGCATCTTTCATTTATATACCTTAGAAATTTGGAATTTGCATATGTTATGTAATTCACCTTAATCTACAACTTTTATTAAACTTGTAAAGATCAAAGATGGTTTAAAAGGCTAATTTAAACTTTATAATATATAGATAATAAATTATTGACAGTTAATATATTAAAAAAAATTGTGTAGTAAATTTATCTAAAACTTAAAAAAACATAAAATAATAATTACTTTCTATTAAGTAATTATTAAATTAATTAAAGTAGTTTTTAAATTTATTATATCATGAATCAAATAACAGTATTTTTGTCTTTAACATCAATAAAAGTAAATTATTAATAAAATATTCATTAATATTTAAATTACTATTACTTGTTATATACTAATACTATGAATATATAACTAGTACTATTGGATGCATTTTGATGAAATTGATGAAATAAATTTAATAAGCTATTGTACAATCTTGTATGATTACTGAATAATAAAATAATTATAGAGGTCTCTGGAAAAAAATTCAAATTTACTAGTAATTTTACCAGCGATCCTATTGGTTAATTAATCCAAAGGGGAAAAAAATCATAACAATTTAATGTAATATTTCCTTTTTTAGATGTAATTTATTTATATATAGTAGGATCAATAAGCGGGATCATATTATATCTGAAAAATTACACTAAATAACCTGCTGTTTTTTTTATTTTCACTTAGAAAACATCAGTAATTTTATTAAAAAAATGTTATTTCTTTTTTAACAAATATTTTTCTATATTAAAATTTTTTACTATATATTTTTTTTTAAGATTTCTGAAATAAAACTAGGCATATATTTATTGTAAATCTGTTAAAGTTACATAATATATATAATTTTATCTATTCTATAAATTTACTTAATAGTAAAAAATATATTTAGAATGTCAATTTTTATTTTTACATATGGTATATTTTTCTGATCGGCAAATTTTAAAAATAAATATTATTGCTAAAATTAGTTGTACAGTCAACTCCTTAATTAGTATCCTGCATATGCGACTTAAAATGACTTATATAAACTCGCATAACATAAATAATATAGTTAAAGTATTATAAAAATTAGTGTAGGACAAATTTTATCATATAAAAAATTGATTCAAAACTCAACTCGATTTAACTCGTAAGGAATACTAACTCCTTTTATAATTACTCTCATTATAGTTATATAATTTACATTTTACTATATAATCACACCAGTTGAATGTTCAAAATACTTTATTATTAAAATCTATCCTATATAGTTACAATCTATCTATAGTTACTATCATATCTATTCTTAAAAATCTTATATTAAAAAGAACTGTTTATAATTACAGTTATATAAAGAATATATTAAATAACTTGACATCTAAAAATCATAACTATAGCTTGTTAGAATTATCTTATTGAAATGAATCAAATAGTAGTAGTTTATCTTTTTACTGTGCAAATGATCTTTATAACGTTTTTTATTTATATTCAAAAAAATTTACAAGTTAACATATGAAAGCTAAATCTAATCTAAAAAAAGACTATAAAACAATCACTTATAATAGTAATACATTTCTCAGATTAATACATGATCACTGTGAAATAACTAAATAGTTTAAAAACTAAACTTATAAAAGGCAAGAAAAGCAAAAGGCTACAAAAGATTAAAAGAATCAGAAAATTATTACCATGAAAACTTTCAAAGAAAGAAAAAAAAAAAAAAAAGAATAAGTTAGTTGTACATAAAGCAAAAATAATAAAGAAAACAAAATTTAAATTAAAAAATTATAACTAAAGTTGCCTGCTGAAATTAGGGAATTTCGGCATGTCAAAATTGTCAAAACTATTTTGACATTTTAACATTGGCTCTCTGATTTGTCGAAATGCTAAAATAGTTTTGACATATTAAAATTGTCAAACCCTAAAAATATTACATTTTACTTAATAACTTAGTATCCAATGATCATGAAAAGATGCGCCATAGCTTGTTGAAATTGTCTCATAATGATGAGTTGAATAGTTGTTATATCATCTTTCTATTTTGCTAGAAGTTTACGGCCAAGACTTTTCCAATCTACCTGTTTATAGAGCAAGTTCGCCTAGTATTCTATCATCCACAAGAATATCTATACCACCGAGTACTTAAGTTCCTCAGGTAGACAGCACCATAAATGAGAACATTCCTATCAGACTACTTTTAAGGCTAATCTGAAGCTAAGATACGCCACCTATTTATTCTTACATCCATTGCATAATACTAGTACTCAATTTATTTTACAACCTTAAAGAGCATCTACTTTCATGAAGGACTTTCAACAGGTAACATCAACCATCTAGTACCCTTTTATACCACCATTTTAGGTACGAATTCTCACTCAAAAGCCATTACAGCCCACAATTATCCAGTACTGATAATACAGTTGTTTACCCCAAACGGTTTACTTCCATTGTAGTGACCACTTAAACAGGAAGTAGCGGGCTAGTATCTAGAATCACCCCTTAAGGTGGGTATCAACTACCAGGGATCACTAACCAGGATCCAAAGAGTAGAGAATCGAATCTCATAACCATGCTACCTATTTTGTACACAAACATCTTGGTTAGCCTAAGACTCAACAGAAGGTCAAACTACCACTAAAACATTGCACCCTCAGCTTTACTATCTATCTAAGACGACTATCTAGCCATTACTGATTCCAAGTGGTATTATGGAGTGACCACTCAGACAGGAAGTTCCCCCTAAGGTATAGTAGTAACCTCAAGAACAGAATTGCATACATACTAATAGCCTCATAGGGAACGTTAAAAGGATATCATGACCTTTTGTTGAAATGTGCAGTCCAACTGTTTTTAGTATTTTCAGTATTTTTTTGTTATAAATAAAATAGAAATAATTTGAAAATGGTGATAAACAACTTTACTTAAGTATAAAAAGGTAGTGTTATTTGGTGATAAAATTAAAGTTTATGAAAATTTGAATATTAAGATTAATCCAGAAATGGTTAAATAAATCATTTAAAAATTATAATTTTTATATAAAATTACTATAATTTAACTTATTTTTTCGTTGTTCGATTGTAGGTATATATTCGAATAATCATTTATTTTAATACGTTTTGCATGACTTGAACGAAAAGAAGTTTGTGAAATTCATAATTCCTAATATGTTCAAATGTTATATTCCAAACTACTTCCTAATTTCCCTATATTTATTATTTCATAAATCATTTAAAAATTATATAATTTAACTTAATTAATAATTTACCATAATTAACTTTAATTACTATGTTGATTTCAGATATCATCAAAAAGTATCTTAAATGCTAATTTGAATTATATATAAAAAACTAGGCTATGGCTTTATTAAATTTAAAGAGTGTTTATATAGAAAAACTAATAACCGCTAAATTTGATCCATATAATCTGCATTTACTAAAGTTATCACAAAATTTTATGAAAAACGCAAAATTAATCATCGTCCCTGATCCTAAATAATCTAAATAACACTTTTATAATTCAACATAACAAGTGAGACTTTTGGTTTAAAAATATACAAGAGATTTTTTTTATAACACCACAAAAAAATCCGAAAGTTAATAATATAAGTCGTAACACATTTATATATATATAAAAGAGTAAAAAAATTGAATGCATTGTTTTGTATACACAATTGTTTTAAAATACTGAGTTATATAAGAAAAAGAAAAAAAATATATATATATAATTTTCGCGAATTTTCGTGTTCGGAATATAATAAAAGAAAGTAAGGATATGAAGTTTTGAAAAAACAAAATAAAAAAAAAATAAAAATAAAAAAATAAAATAAAATAAAAAATAAAATAAGATAAAAATAAAATAATATTATAGTCAACAAAAACATTATCCGAAAACGAATAAGCGAAAGGAAGAAAAGAAAGAAAAAAATAAAATAAAAATTATCTTAATATAACATGAAAGGTATTCCCCTTTTCTATTCTTTATCTTTCACTTGTATTCCCAACCAGAATATCAAAACAAAATATATATATTGTAATTTTCAAGTAATATAATAAATCCCCTTGTGTATAAATTTTTTCTACAATAATATGTCTACTGTAATAAAACAAAAAAAAAAAAAAATTCTGAAGGTTGGGAACAATGGGGATGATAATATAAAAAAAAACCTATAATTATAAGTAATATGTATGAAACAAAAAAAAAGATATGTGGCATGAAGCTACGCAAATGACCCATTAATAAAATAATGAAAGACGGATTCGGATCTATAGCTTCTAACTATAAAGTAAAAAAAAAAATATAGATACAAAGAAAAATTTTTTTTTTTTTTTTTA